TTTACTTGGCCCAGCTATACATTTTGCAATTTAAAAGTAAGTTTGATCACTGAAGTCTAGTTGGCGCTCAGTGACCCCAAAATGTTATAAGTAGCAAGACTCTTATTAGAGATACTAGAGATCTACGATGAAGATGTAGATATAACTGGAAATCTCTTAATACATGGAGAGAGAGAGAAACTATCTATATGCTAAGACTAAAGTTAGACTGCGCCAAAACCCGCAAACCCACAAACCCGAAAAAACCCAACCCGCAAATGGGTCGGGTTTCGGGTCGACTTTCATAACCCGCAATGGGTTTCGGGTTAGCTTGGGTAACCCGTGCGGGTTACTAAACAGTGCAAACATAGGAGTCGTATCTATATAAATTATGCATTCCTTACCTATATCTTGTTATATTTCCTTTTTACCTTAAGGGGGTAACCTACAACCCGCTCTAATTCTAATATACCACTACTATTTCTAACCGCGGTCAGAAATAGTACCTAAAACTAGACTTCGGCACAACCCACTCTAACCCGGACCTAACCCAACCCAACCTAACCTAAAATGGGTTTTAGGTCTATTACTTCGACCTAACTAGACCTGGCAGTGACCCTCCGGGTGGTCCATGACCTTGGACCCTCCGAGGGTCCAGCGACCCGCCAAGACCTAAATTTTGACATAAATATATATAAATCATGGTTTATAAGCATATTATTTCCTAATTAGGATAGGTTATGCATGCATAATTTCCTTGGCGGGTCCAGAATCCGGACTTTGGACCCTCCTTAGCGTCTTGGCGGGTCCAAATGGAGGGTCACTGCCAGGTCTACTAATAATCGAAATACTCAAAATTACTAGGAATTCCTATATTATTTATACAGTTATAAGAAATTAGTATATTTGTATTATTTAGTCGAAGGGGGCTCGGCCCNCCCCCCCCCCCCCCCCCCCCCCCGTCGAGCTGTAGGCCCAAACCAAAAGCCCGAAGCCTGCTACAAGCTTTAGGAACAGGCCCGAAACCCGACCCTTTTGAGGGTCGAGTCGGGTCAGGTTTCGGGCTTTTCGAGCTTTGCGGAAGTCTACCCTACACTCAGTGAGCACTCAGTGAGCAAATCAGAGTGCTCAGATAATAATCAGTGAGTGGATCAGGGTGCTCAGGGGATGACGATGTAATGATCCGTGATCAAGTCGGGGCACTCAGGGACGTACTCAGTTTTACTCAGTGATCAAAAAGCGGCAAGAGGTGAGCACTAAAACGGAAAGAGAAAGGTCTCGAGTGCCAGTCATTATCCGGTACATATGTTAATACACCATTAGTCCTAAGATGTCTACGGGAAATAGAAGCTTTGCGACTCAACCCTTTAAGTGGTCCCTTTTTAATTATATCCGTCAGCTATCAAGTAAATATGATCCAATGTTACAAAAGTTTTGTTTTCGGCATTTCTGTATGTATTCTATCATATCCTGAGTAGGCCGTATCTTGCGCATGGAGGAAGCACAAAACCCACCTGCTCATTCTATGACAGAAAATCTTGATCTTGGTCTTTGCTCAATCATGGTATCACGGACTTGGAAAAAATCCCATGAAGCCTATGTATTTGACCTTCGAAGCTAACTGAAAATCCCACCGAACAAAGCCCAGATATGAGAACCAGCCGGAGTATCCACAACTTGAATGTGACACTCCCCTGGTTCGAAATGCCTATATAAGTCAGAAGACCGAACCATGTTGTTATATTGGGTCATCCAAGCCACATCCTGTAGAAATTTATCAGATCATATCCCCACCGAGATATAGTAGCCCCCGGAGGCAACTCGGGTCACAAGGTGACAGCGAAAATAGTGATGAGCTGCAGTGTGCAAGTTCCTCGTGGAGACACCCCAGCTGCATCATAGCTTGAAAGTCCCGAGTCCTCGGTGTTTGCTCCCCCAGCCTTGTTGGAGAAGGCCTTGTTTTCAGTTCACGGAAATTTGGAGCATGTTGACAGGTCTCGAAGATGTAAAAGTTTACGAAACGACAGACGACGGGTGCTAGAGTATAACTCACTAAAATGCATCATCATCATCATCATCATCAATAGAAGTCCCTGTCTTCGTGAGAATCATGGTACTTACCACGTAATGATTCTTGTGCAGTGGGCACACAAAATATCCCATCCATAGATCGCTATCGAAAGGTTCTCGTCATGGCAGAGGATTTCTCGTCCCATCCCACATCGTATTTGGCCCCAAGGCAGTCCCCAAAGAATTCTCAGGATATGGAAATCTATGGAAATCCAACCATATTCTCGATGAGATTTGGTCGCTGACTGGTGAAATTGGAAGTCGAAAAATTGGTGGGAGAAATGAGAAATGAGAGAAATGGAAGAAGAGGAAACGGATACAGCGAGCATGAGCAAACGAGCTCGACAAGATTTGATGTTTACAGTCTACTCTTTTGCTCTTCATTTGCAACCTACAAAAATGGATATTACATGCATTGCAGTAATTTATTACAGAGACAAGCCCAAGCAGAGCAAAACTACATATGTGCCAAAGTATGCACCTCTTCATGTGAGGTACTACATGTTGTTCCATAGTAGCTTTGCTTTGATATTTGACACAGTCGATCAACTCCAGAAGTGGAATTCCGATTGACCCCAACGTTGAAGATGCGACTCCAACAAGCACGGGGTCACTAGTTTGATACTTCAATGGTGAACAATAAGTTAGAACAGAGTATGAGGTCCACAATGTTCATGCTGGCAACTAGGATATATGTGGGATTTACGGTGATTCCATTTAAGACAAAAGATGCCTGTAGATTCGTACATATGTTCACTTCAAAAGAGTCAACCCAGTAAATCCGCTAATTGGAGAAGTAACATGGTGATGTCTCCATATTGCGGGGGTTGGAATAAACCGGGGACTATCGCGGGAATGCGGACTTTTGTCCGCCCAACTCCACTTCTTATCAATGACCATACAAAGTACTCCAAGCCCTCCAGCTTTCATTTATAACGCGATAGGACGCTGCATTATGGCCTGTTCTCACTTTTTACGAACTCTCCCAAGAACGCGTCTTCAATCTGCCAAACCTGTGTTTTTAAACCTTGCTCGAACGTTTTCTTCTTCACGAATACAAACTATGTTGACAACTGAACTCTCCGAGACTGAGGTCTCTGCACTCAGAGCCAACAAGGAACGCCTAGCGAACGACCTACATCATTCATGCCAATGGGGATCTGGAATCAGATGGGGAGAGTAAGCTACAACCATCCTTTCCAGGGTTGCTGAAGAACTACAGCTAACAAGCCTCGGCGATTGATAGTGGACCCACAGATACTGGCATGCAGCGCCTTGCGCTTTCAGAAGATGACAAGAGTGTCCGTGACTGGTTCATTCAGACCATGAAAGATCTCAAGTGCAACGTCACCGTTGATGAGATGGGTAATATCTTTGCTGTTCGTCCTGGGCGGAGGGCAGATGTACCCGCCACATTCATTGGCAGTCACCTCGATACACAACCGACTGGTGGTCGATACGATGGTATCCTGGGTGTGTTGTCAGGTATCGAAGTTATCAAGACCATGAATGACATGGGTCTAGAGACGGAGGGCGGAGTCGGGGTTGTCGACTGGACCAAGTAAGATCCTGAAGTTCAACTTGGAAAAAGGAATATCACTGACCGTGTACAGCGAGGAGGGTGCCCGATTCCCAATCAGCATGATCTCAAGTGGTGTATGGGCCGAGTGCATTCCATTGGCGCATGCGCATAATCTCAAAGAGGTGCCAACCGTGGCATCGCTTCCCACAGCAGCATCAGCACCAGAGACCATGAAGAGTGCCCTACAGAAGATCGGTTACTTGGGCGATGTTCCGTGCTCGTATAAATCGACGCCAATGGCTGCCCATTTCGAAGTTCACATTGAGCAAGGCCCATACTTGGTGTCTGCAAATCAGCGAGTCGGAGTCGTGACAGCTGTGCAGGCCTACAGATGGTTCCGTCTCAACGTCATCGGTCGAGATACACACACAGGTACCACCGCCTTCGAACATCGAGCAGACGCCCTTTATGCATTTGCCCAAATGATGGTGCGCGCACGTGAAGTAGCATCTTCAAAGGGTTGTCTAGCCAGTGTTGGCATTGTCGAGGCAAAGCCCGGTAGCGTGAACACAGTTCCTGGAGAGGTGAGCTTTAGCTTGGACATCCGCGGACCCGAGACAGAGCTAGTTGCCGAAGTCGAGAAGGAGCTGCGCACTGCTTTCGATGCTATTGCTGCAGCTGAAGGTGCTGGTATTGGTAAGCCCTGCCGTGTCGAGTGGACTCTTGACTTCGACTCGCCTGCCGTCAAGTTCCATGAAGACTGCATCGATTGCGTGCAGCAGTCAGCTCAGGCTGTTGTCGCAGATGCTTCTGTTGCGGATACAAAATCACTTGTGCGGACCATTATGAGTGGTGCTGGTCATGACAGTGTCTTCACCTCCAAGCGTGTCCCAACGAGCATGATCTTTATCCCATGCAAAGATGGCCTCAGCCATCACCCTGAGGAGTTCTCCACGGCTGATGATTGCGCCACTGGAGCATCTGTCATTTTGCAAGCTGTGGTCCGCTATGACCGGAAGAGATTCTTGTAAGGCGGGTGCTCACTTTAGCCTAACAGAAAGGCCTTGTATATAGATCAGAGCGTGTAAAGATCTTAGTGCGCAAACATGTCGACCAGCCAAAAAAGCTAGAAGACCTACACGAAGATTACGAATACCAATTTCACTCAAGTCATGAATTTACCATTGAATCAATCAATGTGACTCTACATCATTTTACATCATTTTACATCATGAAACCGGTGGAAACATAAATTTCTTCTTTTTATTTTGTTCCCTGTATCCCCAAGTCCCAATGAAACTGGAACGAGGTGCACCGAGTGTAAGGCCCGTTTCGAGAAACCTCTAGTCCGGCAGCCAAATTCGGATACACCATCAAGACTCTAGATTGACCGAGAAGTGGTTGACAGGACACCAATGCCTCTCAGCATTTACTCCTGGGGAGCGGCACCACGGCCACGGCCGAAGCCACCACGGAAAGAGGGGGCGAACTCGCCGGGGGCACCGCCCTCCTTTCCACCCTCCTCGCGACGGCGGTAACCGCCCTCACGGGGAGCACGGGGACCACGGCGCTCACCGCGCTGCTCCTCACCGCCCATCATGCCGCGGGGGGGAGCGTGGGAACGCTGCTGCTTGATGTGGGTGGCGGGGACAACCTCGGCGGGGAGGTGGAGCCACTCACGGAGGTAGTCCAGACCCTGTTATGCAATTAGTATTGGGACATGTAGACGTGTCAGGCATGGATTAATCGTACCTCGGGGGTGAGGGTGTAGTAGTAGTACTGCCACGAGAACTGAGTCTTGACAAAGCCGCGGGAGTCCAGGGACTGGAGGGCCTTGATGACATAGAGGTTCTTGGTGTCAATGTCACCGTGCTTGGGAAGGTTGAAGTCCTTCTTGGCCACGAGCACTCCCTCTAGAATATAGGTTAGTGAATCTGCACACAGATGACCGGAGCGCAATGTCGCAGGGTCGCAGGGACGTCGACGAGGGTTCTCGTTACATACCACGGAAGAGGTACTCGTGGATCTTCTTGCGGTCGTCTTTGGGGATAAGCCTGCGCCATTGTTAGTGAATCTGTCGGAAATAATCGCAAAAACGAGAATACGTACATTGTCGCGAGTTCCTGGTGCAAGTCGGGGAATCGCTTTGACAACGCCCGAGAATAATGGTTGATTTAAATGATGGATGAAGAGTGGAGCTTCGCCGCGAGAAAAGTGCGACGGTCCGAATTGGGTGTAGGGTTAGCACCCTAATCAGTTTGTGGTTCAGATCACATGATCATGTACATATATCACGTGAGAGGTACTGATGCTCATTGCTTATGTAATATAGATCCAATGATGAGTCAGCGTGGCAGAGACCGCCTCATCATTGATCTTATCGCAACATCTTCAATCTTTCGAGCCTACAATTGTATTTTCTTCCTGCAAAGAACTCACCACTTGGACTCTCTTATCTCGGGAATTGTTTCTGAGACACTCAAATATGGCTTCCTCAAATGTCAACGTCCTACTGTCGACCTTTCCGGGACTGCCGCTGCCCGCGACACTCTCGTTCACTTTGCCATCGACAGCGAGCACATCAGACCTGACGGCCAAGATCGCGTCATATCTCCCATCATCACTTTCTCTTCAGTCGCTCGTTCTTACTACAACAAACAACAAACAGCTCACGGCCACCTCTGAATGCATTCAATCTTTCCTCCAGACCCATGATGGCGTCTCTACCTCCACACTCCTCCCACTTCGCCTGACTGCCCCCGTCTGTGGTGGAAAAGGTGGTTTCGGTTCCCAGCTGCGTGCCGCTGGTGGCCGCATGTCCAGCAAGCGCAAGCGCAATCAAGGCGACAACAATGGCTCCAGTCGCAACCTCGATGGCCGCCGGCTGCGCACTGTCAATGAGGCAAAAGCTCTCGCAGAATACCTCGCTGTCAAGCCAGAGATGGACAAGAAAGAGAAGGAGGAACGCCAGCGCCGATGGCAGTCTGTGGTGGAGATGGCCGAAAAACGCCAAGACGAATTGAAGAACGGTAGCGGCAGACAGAAGCTAGATGGACAGTGGATGGAAGATAGGGAAGAAATGAGCGAAAAGACCCGCGAAGCAGTTTTGCGGGCTGTGAAGGATGGCGGATGGACAGACAATCTTCGCGACGCAATCCTAGGTGGATCCAGCACCAGTGCCAGCGACGAGGGAAGTGAGGAGGATGCTTCATCCAGCGAGGATGAAGAGAGCGAGGAAAACGGAGAATCATCCAATGCTGTTTCTGGACCCTCTGGGCTTCAAAAGGCTGCACCCAGGAAATTCATTGGTTTCGATGAGGACGACGAGTTCATGAGCGACTCCGATGACGAGATGGATGATTCTGGCAAGGGAAAGGGAAAAGCGCGTGCTTGATATTCTATCGTAACCAATATTTTTCCATGGTTCATGACGGCGTTCTTTTACTACTACTTTCAGGGATTTTCCAGCGCATCTGTGTTTCAGCGCCTTCTGTGTCAATAATTTCAACTTCCGATAGGAGTGCGCAATACAAAACTTGTCCACTGCCATCAATTTCAGCATTACTTTAGTCTACTAATGTGTAAAATAATGTTCTTGTTCCCAGGTTGCGCAGCTTTGGCTCATACTTGTACGGTGGCCCGAACTTGCCACTCGCGCTATCGATAGATAATAGATAACTGTCTCCAAAGAAAAAAAGCTCCGCAACTCCGCATTTTCACACGCCATCATGTCGCTCTGCTCTCGAGGCGCAGTGTTCAGAAACCCAAGATTAAATCTGCTGCGTTTGCTCCCAAATACCATCCCTCGATCCCAGGCTCAAACGCTCTTTTCACAATCGCGCGTCGCGCCGCAATCCAAAGCCCTGACGGACCTCCGGAGGCAATGCCGATGCTTCTCAACAACTCGCTTTCGGCGCGAACAGCCCCAAGCTGAGCCTCAGGTTGAGACCCTAGCCGATTCACTGCCTGTGTGCTGCCCAGGATGTGGCGCATTCTCCCAGACAGTTGAGGCAAACGAGCCAGGATACTATGGTACCTCACGAAAGCAGATTCGGAAGCTACTGGCCGTGAGAAAGGAAGCAATTGAACACAAAACTGCAAAACAAAATAATGCTATATTCACCGAGGGAGATGCCTTGAGCACAGAGCAGAACAATGCCATTGAGGAGGCAGTGCCACCCCAGCCCATTCAAGGTGAGACGTCTAGACTATTACTTGAGCGCGCCGTTTGCTAACTGAACACAAAGATGGAGCTTTTCCGGATGAAGCTGTCGATCCCGAGACCAACTTTCTTGGATCCACGGGTCGAATCAGCGAAGTCTGCGATCGTTGCCACGACTTGATACACCACAACAAGGCAGTCTCTTCGCCCAAGCCGACTATTTTGTCCATACGAAACTATCTGGAGGAATCGCCATTTAAATACAATCGTGTCTATCATATCATCGATGCCGCAGATTTCCCAATGTCTCTCGTTCCACGCATTCATTGGGCTTTAATGCTGCAGGAGCAACGTTCTCGGAATCGACGATCTACAAATGAGAAATACGAACGCGGAAGAAAACTTCCATCACTATCGTTTATAATCACGCGCTCAGATCTTTTGGCGGCAACGAAAGAGCAGGTAGACTCGAAGATGGACTACATTCGCACAGAGCTCCGAGCAGCTTTGGGAAGATCAGGGAGGGAGGCCCGCTTGGGCAACGTGCACATGATTAGCGCGCACCGTGGCTGGTGGACCAAAGAAGTCAAGGAAGAGATCCGAGAGCATGGCGGCGGCATTTGGGTCGTTGGCAAGGCAAATGTTGGAAAGAGCAGCTTCATTGAAGCTTGTTTCCCCAAGGATTCCAGGAATGTGGAGAAAATCGAAGAGTGGGTTCAACGCCACCGTGATGAAAATGAGATTCCAAACCAGCGAGAAGCCACCCTTCTTGACCCCAACAGCCTTCTGCCCCCTGCCCCTCGCGAGGATCTCTATCCTGTGCTCCCAGTCGTATCTTCCCTTCCAGGCACTACAGTCTCGCCTATCCGTATTCCATTCGGTCGTGGGAAGGGCGAGGTTATCGATTTGCCTGGCCTAGAACGTGGTCTATTGGAGGACTTCGTTCAGGATGAACACAAGCGTGATTTGATCATGACAAAGCGGATCAAGCCGGAACGTTTAACCATTAAACCCGGCCAGTCCCTTCTGCTTGGTGGTGGTCTTATTCGCATCACACCAGTGAATCCACAAGATACGGTCATGTCCGCCAGTTTCCTACCTCTCGAGTCTCACATCACCAACACACAAAAAGCCATTGAGACGCAGGCCGAGGAAACCCCATATCGGGGGACCGTCATTATGAAAGAAGGAACCAGCAGCACAATGGCCTCGGCCGGTGTATTCGACTTGAAGTGGGATACCACCAACTCGAATCTTCCCACCTCGCTCGCCAAAGCTATCAAGGACAGGGGAATTCCAGTGCCTTCATTGCCATACCGTGTGATGTCGGCAGATATTCTCATTGAGGGCTGCGGCTGGATCGAGCTCAGTATACAAATCCGCAGCAAGCGGGACGCTGAAGACGAACCTTCCTATCCGCAAGTCGAGGTTTTTACTCCTAACGGGAAACATATTGGCTCCCGGCGTCCGATTGAATGCTGGAACTTTATTGCAGAGAAGAAGAAAATCGACAAACGCAAACGGCCGCGCACGAGATATTGATTGTTGTGATTTGGATATGTACATTAGGCCATTTAGCATAGCGGCTCGGCGTTTCTCCTCTCTTATATGTACAATATTTTTGATATGCTACTGACTTCGTCTATGCATAGCCCCAGATACGTCCATATTTGGGTTCATAAGCACGTTGTACAAAATAGTGCTCGTCCCCACGGTCCCCGCAGGTGGGGGCCAGGATTAGTATTTCACCTTAATTCATTTGACTTCTTTCCAACGACTCTATCTCAACTCCGTGTTTATTTGATCTGACAAGTTTTTTGAGTCACTAAACTACATTTGTTTCTTTGTAAAATTATCTTGTTTGATGTTGATGTTGCCGCAATATCCAGTCTAATCTTCGAAATATATACCTCTCCTTGACATCCAGCAAATCGACTTTCACGCTTGTCTATCCCACGATGTTATCTTCTCGGGGAAGCGAAAATGTCAGCGAGCTGGCTAAGCCCTGGCGATTTAGTCTAACCCAGACCTATGACCCAGAGAAGAACCCGACGGGTCTCATCTCATTTGGCATGGCGGAGAATGTATCTATATCCCCCGCAAGCTGGAATCCCAAAACTAACTTCCAACCAGAAACCAATGAGGGCAGAGATAGCCAAATATATCAACGAAAAAGTACATAGTCCAGTGTCGACATGGGGTCCTTTGGTTGAAAGAATCCCATCCTAACAATCTCGCATAGGTCGCCTTTACACAAGATTCTGTCAGCTACCGGTCGAGTGCACCAACAGCTGCAAGATTACCAGCCGCTGCAGCAGTTCATTTGAACAATATCCTCAACCCACATACCCCAATTTACCCCGACGACATAATCGTTGCAGACTCCCCGACCTCACTTGGTAGTATGCTGGGATACAGTCTCGCAGAACCCGAGGATGGGATTCTCGTCAGTAGACCTGTATACGGCCGCTTTGAGCTCGACTACGGTGTTGAATCTGGCGTGAAAATGGTTTATGCCGACACATCTGTGGAAGAGGCATTCTCACCTGCTTCTGTGGAAAAGTACGAGCTAGCTTTGAAGGCTGCCAAGGAACAGGGTCAGAGAATCCGAGCTGTGCTGCTTGTCAATCCGCATAACCCTGTTGGTGAGCAATGTATGCCACTCAGTCCATTGAATTGAACTAAATGGCCACCGCCAGGTCGTTGTTACCCGGTCGAGACACTCAAGGCTATCGCCCGATTCTGCAACAAGCACAATCTCCATCTCATCAGTGATGAGGTCTACGCTTCCTGTGTGTTTGACTCTGGTGACCCCGAGGCTGTGCCGTTTACGTCGATCCTCTCGCTGGATTTTACGGGATTGATAGATCCTAATCTGGTCCATGTGTTATATGGCTTCAGCAAGGTAGGCGTCGGATAATCTCAATAGAGGCAACCAATCTGATGTAG